GCCCTGGATGTCATCACTGAACAGAGAACTCCTTGTTGGTTGGAGGAACCAGGGACATGCTTGCTGGGTCAGGGTCAAACTGATACTCAAGTACAAAGAGGCAGTAAGGATTACTTCTCAGGGAGCCAGAGAATCCCAGTCTCCTTCCATAGATACCACCAGCGCAGCAGAACTGCAAAAGTGACGTGGGTAGGTGCCAATGACCCTTCTGTACTCTTGGGTGCATTGCTTTCATATCAAGGGTAAAGTCCGGGGCGTCTACAGGCAGAGTCACCACTGTGATTAGGTCATATTCCTAGGTTTCATGCACACTCGGCATTTTTCCTGTTTCCTGGACACTCCCTTGTTAAATATATTTGTTTTTATCAGATAAAGATAGACATCGACATCAGACGTTAGCAGAACTTCCCTCTTTTATGAGAAAAAAAATGAAAACATAAAAAAGGATCCTTATTTGGAATGGAAATCTCCCTACTGCACTGTCAGCAATGAGTGGGATACTATTTATTACCAGGCATCTAAAATTATCCCCAAAGAATGCTGAGAAGGGGAGAAATGCCTTCCTGGGTGGCTGGGGTGGATGTGAGTTCTGAGAACGGCCTGGAGTACCACTGATGCCTGAGCGGCTGGGGTCATAGGGCATAGGGTTTGTGGTAGATCACAGGCATAGGGGACCAGTAGAACTTACTGTAGGAAGAACCCTAGTTTCCTCCGAAAGAATAAAAATGACCATTCGGGTCTCAAGGCTAAGACAGATGTGGTCACCAAGAACGTCAACCCAATGGTCAAAGTTCATTTTTCTCTGTCCAGAAATCTAATCTAAGTCAGATCCATGGGACAAACTACAAACCCATGAGCATCCTGTCCCTTGCCTGCCAGGACATCTAGGGACCTGTCCATCAATAAAGCCAGGAACAGGAAGGGTTTTCATCAAGTGGCTTATTTGAGACACTAAGCCAGTACTCCAATCATCAAAGCATGCTTCATCTTTGAGACTAGACCAGTGCAATGACTCAGTGGGTTCTGATGCCCCGATTTCCATTCCCAGGACACACACGGTAGAAGGAGAGAACCGATTCCTAGAAGCTGTCCTCTGACCTCTACATACATGCCATGGCATGTGTGCGTACCCCCAAACTAAAAAATAATAGTAAATGAGATGTTCACGATTATGCCAGGTTTAGTTCAAGGTTGAATTCTGCCAGGCTTCTCCAAGGTTAGTAATGAATAGAAATAATTTTCAAATTATCTATGGTATAAGATGTGGAGGTAAGGGAGAGAAGAGGAATGGGGGGAGTAGGAAAGAGGGAGAGGAGAGAAAAACACATAGGAAAGGAGGAAGGAGAGAGGAAGAAGAAATGGGGGGGCTAGAGAGAGGAAGAGAGATGAGACAACACAGGGGTGAGGAGGGGAGGGGAGGGAAGGGGAGAGGAGGTGAGTATGGGGGCATTAAAGAGATCTAGTCTCTCCTGAGGACACATGACTTCTCATTTCTTACCAATGCACCTCACTAGCAATCTAGGCCAAGCCAAGGGGTAGGTCATGAGAGACTGGAGGTCACCCCTCCCCTCCCTCCCCAGCCCAGGCAGAGCTACGCACATTCTTCGCTCTCTACCGCGGCATAGTTGCCCACTTCTTTGAAGCTGATGTTTCCCAAGTGGAGAATTCCAGACACAATCTGCAACACCAGCGTCTGCTCCTCTGAGAAGATCCCGATCACATTCATGGCGTGCTGGAAGACACAGAGAGGGGTTAGCCAGACAGCCTGGCTGCTGACCGTGTGAGCAGGCAACAAACACGGCATGGAGCGACTTGTACAGTGAGCGTGTAGCTTCGCCTGCGATGATGGGAATTCATCAGTGTGATCTGTGACCTGCGTACTTGCGCATCTTTCTCTGTGTGTGTGCGCTCATGTGTGTGCAGGAGCACATGTATGTGGAGGTGAGAGGTTGATGTGAGGTGTGCCTTTGCCATTTGACTTCGACTTCACTGATTTGGCTAGACTAGACAACCAACAAGCCAGGCTTTGCCTCCCCAGGACTGGGATTACAGTGTATGCTGCCAAGCCCTGCTGCTGCTACAGTTACTGCTTCTCCTCCTCCTCCTCCTCCTCCTCCTCCTCCTCCTCCTCCTCCTCCTCCTCCTCCTCCTCCTTCTCCTCCTTCTCCTCCTCTTCCTTATGGGTTCTGGGAATCCACTCGGGGCCTCAGGCAATTTGTGACAAGCAATTTGCTGACCGAGTCACCACCTCCCTAGCCTTCTTGTGCCATCAGAAGTCCTTCTGGAAGGGCAAGTCTGTCTTTAAATACCATGCACTCTCTAGGAACACCTTAGACCCTAGAGGATCTCCAAGAAGAGAGAGTCTGGGCATAAGCTTCCAGGTCTGCCCTGTCCCAAGTGAGTTCTGGCTGCCAACCCTCTCCAAGGGTATTACTTTCCCATATCCAACCACCCCAAGATGTCTTCCCCTTTGTGGAGAGGGAGACAGAAAGATTTTATTAGCAAAAACATCTTTTAAAACCTCCAGAACTACAGACCACTAAAAGCTAAGTTTCTGAGTCCATTAAATTAAAGTAGCCGAGTCTTGGATTTCTGTAACTTGAGACAACTTTTCCCAAGGACAGTGTTGAGCCCCTTCGCCCACTGTTTTTACCTCGTTCCTTGAAGGCTGTGGCTGGGCAGTCTTGGGACCTGTCACTTCTGAGCCAACTCCCCTCCCACTGACTCTCCGCTGCTCATTCTGGGTCCCCCCTCGGTTCTCAGTAGACAAACAGGCCTGAGCTTGCTGTTGGCTCAAGAATAGCATCCTGCAGTCCTCGAAGGATGAGAGGGTAACAGGCCTACCTCCAGAAAAGTTTAGACTACATGATTCAGGTCAGTTTCAGGCAGGTCACAAAACCTTGAAATTCTAGTGCTGTAACCCAGACTATGACATGTGTTTGATGTGAGCAGCCCAGAGCACACACAATATTGTCAACAAACTCAGAGGTAACAAAAAAGTCATTGGAAACAGAAAAACAAGATCAAGAGGATGAAACAAACAAAACTAAGTGTTTTAAATTTTTTGTTTGCTTATTTGTTTGTTTTTCAAAACAGGGTCTCACTATGTAGCTCTGGCTGTCCTAGAACTCGCTCTGTAGACTCGGCTGGTCTTGAGCTTACCAAGATCCACCTGCCTCTGCCTCCTGAGTACTGGGATTAAAGGCGTGTGCCACTATGCTCAGATATATATATATATATATATCCCTTTTTTACCTTTGTGTGTCTGTGCGTGAGTGTATGGTATATGTGTGTAGGTACCCACAGATGCCAGAAGAATGTATTAAATCCTCTGGAGCTGGAGTTCTAGGCAGGTGTGAGCTGCCAGGTGTGGCTGCTGGAAACTGAACGTGGATCCCCTGCAAGAACAGCAAGCACTCTTCTCCAGGCCGTAAAATTTTCTATCTTCAATGAAGATCACAAAGTGGCTTGTGGGAACAGCTCTCCGTGTATTTATTGACTGCTCAGCAAACTAGCAGGCTAAACTCACTCCCTCACTTGTCTCGGTCTGCTTATCAGAACACTGTTGCAGGAGGGTAACGGTGTGGCAACTGGGTGCATGGCTCTCCAAGGTGCTGAACCCAGGTTTACCGGAGTGCTCACAGTGACTGCGGGGGCAGGTCATACTGTCTGCTTCATTGACCTATCCTGCCCTCCGCCTCAGCTGACACTCAGGCAGGAGAGCGGAGACAGCCCTGCCCGGTACCCGCACTTACCAGGGTTTCCTGAAACTCCCGTTTGTCGTCAATGTCATCGACCTTGTAGGACCCTGAGAGGCTCAGGTAGTAATAGTAGTCCATGCTGGTGATGCCGAGGCTTTGCTTCTGCTCTGCAGAGGCGCCCTCGATGAGCTGCCGTAAGAGTACACAGGACATGTCAGGACACGGCCCACAAACACCCACAATCACTTTGGGGTTTCAGGGCCACAGTCCCTGAGCCCAGGCGGGGATCAGGGGTTCTAGCCTGCAGAATCTGAGGCAGTTTATAAATATCATTTGGGGTTGCAGTTGTATAAGCCCCAGATTGGTCTACAAGCTGCAGTTTTTGTTGTTTTACGGTGTATGGATGCTGCCTGTATGGATGCAGTGCCCATGGAGGCCAGAAGAGGGCATCAGATCCCCTGGAACTGAGTCAGAGATGGCTATGAGTACCAGATAGGCTCTGGGAACTGAACCTGGTCCTCCGAAAGAACACTCTTAAGTACCAAGTCATCTCCCCAGTCCAACTTCCAGTTCTTAACTCTGATAAAGCTTGAGAGAACTCAGGTTCTTTTCATGTCTATAAGAGAACTATATACTGTACTAGTGGCCCCACTGAAAAGCAGAATACAAAGTAGACCATAGCCGCTGAATTTCTACCCAATTTAGTTTTTCTACACTTCTTGCCCCAGGATGTATATTTATAAATGGAGGCTTCTTGTTCATTTCCTGGATATCCAGACTCGAGTAATCACACAGAAACTATATTAATTACAACATTGTTTGGCCAATAGCGCTTATATCTTAAATTAACCCATTTCTATTAATCTGCATATTGCCACTAGGCTGTGGCTTACCAGTGTTGGCATGTTATTCCCTTGGCAGCTACATGGCGTCTCCCTGACTCTGCCTACTCTTTCTCTATATCTCTGTTCGGATTTCCCATGTGGCTTTACTCTAAGCCATTGGCCAGAACAGCTTTATTCATCAACCAATAAAAGCAACACATATACAGAAGGACCTCCCACATCACGTATTTGAGAATGGCCTTGATTTATTTCTCTGCATTCTGAAACCTCCTGGTCTACTGAGTTCCTTTGTTTGCTTCATGCTTATGGTTCAAGATGGGAGTTCTTTGCTTCCTGTTCCTGCCATCCCGCCCTCTGAACTGTAAGCCTAAATAAAGTCTTCCGTAAGTTGCCTTGGTCGTGGTGTGTATCACAGCAACAGCAAAGTGACTAAGACAACCACTGTCCCTAGTTTATGCGGCGCTGGGGATCGAACCCAGGGCTTTGTGCATGCTAGGCAAGCACTCTACCAACTGAGCCACATCCCAGCCCCTGAAGAATCTTGGTGTACCACCTATAACCTTTCCCCTATTCTTGCTTGAAGACAACACCTCCCTCCTGTTCAGTCTTCTCGCTCAGACACATAAAAACATACCTTCCTCCTGTTCAGTTTTCTTGCTCAGACACATGTGCCCTTTTCCCTTGCATCTTCAAATGCCCACTTCTCCAGCTCTGACTGTATAGGCTGCTCTCTGCCTTCATTGAACACTTTGCCTTGAGCGTCCTCAAGCCACGCCGTCTGCTTCCTCACCATGATTTAGCCACACTCTGTAGCCTCTCCTCTTACGGCTCTGGAAAACTGCTCTCCCCCCATTCTTTCTCAAGGCTCAAGCCAACAGGCTGTTCTTGGTCCTGCCCGTTTCCTCCTCCCAGAACTTAGAAATTGGACCCCGAGGCTTTCTGGAGAGCAGCATTAAGCTCGCCAGGTCCCTTCTACATGTTTCCCCTGGTTCTGGATAGAAACCTTATTTCTCTCTGTGCTCGCTATGCAGTTTTTCAGTAGAGAGGCACTAAAAGAATTGGTTGTCACTGGAGATGGCTGTGTAACTGAGAGATTGACTGTGAGCTTCTCTCATCAGTTAATCTCTTTCTAACCTAGAGGTCCTAGAACACCACCGGACCAAAGAGAAACCAAACCGCAGATTCCTAATATGAAAATAATCATTAGGTTAACTCGAACATTACAGTTTTGAACATGGAACATTTTTTCCAAATGGCTGGATTAGCAAGGTTGAGAGGCCTATGCCTATGATCTCAGCTACTCGAGAGGCTAAGGTAGGAGGATCACAAGTTTGAGGCCTGCCCAGGCTACCAAGTCAGTTCAAGGCCAGCCTAGTGACTTAGTAAGACTCTGTCTCAAAATGAAAGAAGTAAAAAGAGGGTTGAGGATACAGCTCTGTGGAAGAGTGCTGGCCTGGAACTGAACAACAGAACTGGATGGTTGCCAAAGCCTGAAACAGTAGGGGCATGCTAAGCTTGCTCCGAGGATCCCAAGCCTGCGGAGACACTCTCATCCAATAGTGACCCTGTTGGAGGTATCCGCCCCTGAACACTTGGCTCCCATCACCCAACTTCCTTGCTCAACACCTTCTCCCCTCTCTGCTTAGGGTGCTCCTTCCTTAGTGGACAGTCTCTGACTTCCCATAGCTCCAGCTTTCCCCCACACAAATTCCCACTTGGGAAATCATCAAACAAACACTCCCGCTTCTGTTTTTGAAGTTTGTTAACAATTTCCTAATTGTTTAACTTTGGGGAAATTTGCCTTGTTGCCCTAATTAAAATTCAACACTCCTTGAGGACGGGGACATCCTCATGCTCCTTTTAGACACATGCACAAACCCCAGGGCATCTCTCTGGGCTTGTTAGATGACCGCCTGAGAGCTGAGAGGCAAAAATCTGATCGTATTATTACTTATGCTACTGTACATTGGCGATCAAAGACAAACAAGGGCCCCTCTTCACCACATGGGGCCCCGGAACTGAACTCAGGTCATCATGCTTGGTCTCATGGTGCCTTCATCCTCTAAGCCATCTCACTGGCCTTTCCAGTTTTGTTTTTTCCTGTTTTTTGTTTTTTTTTTCGAGACAGTGTTTCTCTGTGTAGCTTTGGAGCATGTCCTAGAATTTGCTCTGTAGGCCAGACTGGCCTCGAACTCACAGAGATCCGCCTGTCTCTGCCTCCCGAGTGCTGGGATTAAAGGCGTGCGCCACCACCGCCCAGCCAGCTTTGTTTTGTAATATGGAGAAGGAATAAAGGACTGGGAAAGAAAAACGGCAAAGGAAAACCTGGTAGAATATGTGAAAGCTCCTCTCTCCCGGGTTCCTCATCACCACTCTGGACTTTTCCAGAAGGAAGTTGGAGATCTTGCCACCATCTGGTTCCCCACCTGGACTGAACTGGATTTCAAAGTATTTTCCCTGCAAGAGAATTAGCAATTTCCTTTAGTACTTGGTAAACAAAAACACAGACTTGGAATACAGGGCATAATTCAAGGAAATTCATTAATGGAGGGCATTCTGGATTAGCCCAGCTCTGAGCTAGACTTCCTTACTTTAAACCAAACAATGCCCTGGCGCTTGCCAGTCACACGGTTCTGCATTCGCAGGATTAATCCCATGGCCAGACTAAATAAGGAGAACTTGTAACACACTCATTGTCTCCCCATCTGTGTCTGAAGACAGAGACCTGCACAGTACCCAGGTTGCCACATTGTTCTTCTAGAAGAATGTATCTTCAGTCCATAGGACCTTGGTTATTATCAAATTCTCTATTATGCTTGCCTGACCAAGATACAGAAAATTGCATATGGCTTTAAACCTACATTTCCTAATAATTAGTGAGAGTATCACTTGATACTATTGGGCATGTGTGTGTGTGTGTGTGTGTGTGTGTGAGAGAGAGAGAGAGAGAGAGAGAGAGAGAGAGAGAGAGATTGATTGATTTCCCCTCTTCAATGTCATTATTGAAGACACAGAGAAAAAAAATTATACTTCCTTCTTCTCTCTCTATTAGGGCTACATGATTATAAATGCTGGGCTCTTGCTTTCTAAAGGCTAACTGAGTTATACTCTCAGAATAATAATAATAAAAAAAAACTTGTAACAGGAGAAGGCAAGGGAAGTCATAACGATGTTTTCCCTGCTCTCTAAGGAAGGCGAGTATGGGCAGGTAGCTAAAGGGTTAAAGTTGACAGTGTCTATTTTTATAAGGCATGTTAAGAATGATAATTAGAGGAAAAAGGTCATGTGGAAAATTCATTCACAGCGTGTTTCTTCTGTCATTACCTAGAAAGGTCAGAATAGAACATCCCAACTATGAAAGATAAAACAAGCGAGAATAAGAGCAGACAATGAAGGGCGTGACGCGGGTTTTGTAGATGGCTGTCGGAGAATGACAATGACTGCCAGAGACCATCGGGAGACTTCTCTAGGAAATAAGACATTCCTTCCTGAATAAAGGCCAATGCCAGCATGGTGAACTACACCTGCAATTCCAGCACATGGGGGAGGGGGCAGAGATGGGTCTCCTAGATGACATAAGAAATTTAAGGCTAGCCTGGGCTATGTAAGAGACTGTCTTAAAAGAAAAATACTTAAATAAAAAAATTAAGTAAAGGCTTTTTTTAAAGTGAGAAAGAAACTGTTTTTCTTTGAAAGTCCCACCCACTGCTTGTCTTGAAACCAGCCCACCATCAGCCTTACAGATGGCTCCTGCCTGGGTGCCAGACAGGCTGTGTGGTTGAAAGAGCATGCTAAATCTCCAGGCATCTGTATCTGGTTTCTAAAGAACCTTTTGGCCTTTTGGAATGGTCACATTTCCATACCCTCCTGCCAACAACTCTGGACAGATACATTGAAAGCATTCACAGCACTGCAAGGGGGACCTTGTCCTAGCTCTGGGGACACAGTTAGGAGGCACTGGGGCCGGGGGCTCTTCATTCTATGAGCATACAAAAGAAAGCAGATTCAGAAATCCAGGAGGTGGGGTAGGGAGAGGACGAGAGGGGAGGAAAGGTCTCTCAGGTGCTCCCTTAGCCCAGTGTCCGCTCCATTCAGACCTAGCTCAGAGGAGCAAAGTCTCTGCAAACAGGTCCGGGTCTGCAGAACATGGGAAGTACTCCAGCGACTGGAATCGGGATACTTACGAATCGGCTGGAGTTGTTGTTGCGCACCGTCTTGGCGTTCCCAAAGGCCTCGAGGAGGGGGTTAGACTGCAGGATGATGTCCTTGACATGCTGTAGCAGGGGACAGGAGGGAGTTAGGAAGACAATGGATGCTCATCATATGATATCAAACTCAACTTTCCCCAAAGTCCTGCTTTCTGAATATCGTAAGGTAAGAGGCCCCGGTCCATATGTCCTGGAGAGTTTCTGGAGAATTCAATGTGGTTTTGCTTTGTATTATAGAGACAGGTTTTTACTATGAAGCCCTGGTTGGCTTTGGATCTCACTATGTAGACAGATTGGCCTTAAACTCACAGAGATAGATCTGCTTCTGCCTCCTGAGTGCTGGGATTGAAGATGTACATTTCTATGCCCAGCTGTTTTGTCTGTTTTGTTTGAAACAGAGTGACATGTAGCTCAGGCTAGCCCCAACCCTGATATGTATCTGAAGATAACTTTGAACTCCAGATCCTCCTGCCTCTACATGCCAAGTGCTAAGACTACAGGCATGTGCCACCACATGCATTTTACACAGTACTCAGGATCAAACCCAGGGCTCTGTGCCAGCTAATCAAGTACTCTGCCACCCGAGCCGCCTCTCCCGTTGATATTTTATTAATGCATTCTTGCAGGGCTGCAGGATCCTACTTATGTGAATAGTTTGAAGCAGCATCCCAAAGCTGAGGTGCCACCAGGAGCCCAGAGCCCATACAGTCTGGGACTGGTTTTCCACGCTGCTTGCCGTGACCCTCTCCTGCACTCCTGGGTACAGTTGGTGATCACAGTGGGGAAGAAGTCTCCTCACCGCTGCATCTTCCCCAAGTGCTCCACTCGCCACACTGAGAGGCAAGACTTAGCTAGATGGCAAGGAATCAGTTTCTCCTTCCTAAACATCCACAGAAACACAATCTTGTGGTGTCTCAAACTCTAAATCTGCACAAGTGCACCTTGTTAAAATGCAGAGGTTACTTTAATAGGTCTGGGGCAGGGCCTAGGAAACTGCATTTCAAAGCAATCCCTGCTCACAGGGAGCTTGCTGCCAAGCCTGGGTCTGATCCTCAGGACCCACACAGTGGTTAACGGACACCCTTAAAGCAGGCCTGGCGTCACTGCTTCTTCTAGCATGGACTCACACTCAGGTCAGCCAGGGGCAACATCAGATCGTGTGACACAGCTCCTGGCCAACAACAGGGGAAGAATTTAGTGTGAACACTCCAGTCCTACGCCAGACTTAGAAGTGTGCAAAACCCATCACAGACATGAGGCTTCTCAGCTGATAGGACCCGGCACTGGGGAGGGCTTTTGACAGTGACTCACTCCTTGTA